TGTGTGTGTGTGTGTGTGTGTGTGTGTGTGTGTGTGTGTGTGTGTACTGTAAGTCCCTAACTTTCTTTCCACAATTTGAACCTTGTGGCTTTTAATGTACGTGCTTTGTTTATGATTTTTTTACTAACGAGCTTCAAGCTGTCAATAAATTTACCCAAAGTCTTGTCACATCTGACCAATGAAATTACACACAAATCACAGTGGACAAATGAAACTGTCCAGAGTCCGCCCTCATCCTGAATTTTTATCTGCAATTTGTGGTTCGAGGATGCACGCAGGCTGCATGGGAAAAGCGGACGTCTGTGCAAAAATAGAGGATATAATTTATTTTCCACTCTTTTACTAGAAAATATTCAAACGCGAGGCTTGAAATAAGTGGTTTTGCATTGCTGTTTACTGTTAAAATGAATATTTTGCACCTCATTGACATATATTAAATAGCAAAACTGCGACTCTAACTCTTCTCAGTGCATGTTTTGCACTTGGATCTCTGCTCGGAGTAATGAGAGATTCTCAAAGCAGGCATATAGGCATCCGTGCAGCCAAGAGGAATGGCTCAATGTTAAAAGTATATGAATGTAGTATGAAATATTTGTCATTTATCAAACTACCACTTTATGGCTTTTGCCTATAGTGTTAATACCGACTACCTGGCTCATTTCCTTCATTCCTGTGCAGGTCCGGTGTCATCTTTTCACATGACTGAAACTGCCAATCAGAACATTTCCTTGCCTTTTAGCCAATCAGAAAATTGGATTCCTCTCATCAAATTTCACCTGCAGTACACAAAGGTGTCCAAACAGGCACTGTCAAACACTCTTTTCTGAGTTTAAAATGTCAAGGAGGACATTCCTTACAAGTAACGGGGCTGATCTTCAGCATTTTCTTTGTGAGGACCAGCCAAAATGTCCTCACAAGTAAAAACATCCTCATGCAAAGGTTGTTTGTCAGGGGTTGGTGCACACAGGCAGAAAAATACAAAAGCACGCACCCAGCCACCTGCAAACGCACGCGCACACACGTGTGCGCACGCACACACACACACACACACACACACACACACACACACACACACACGCACACACAAATTGAGGAGTGTCACATCCCACTTGTGTGCAGTAGTAAAATGTGTGGCTCCAACGCTACCTGGTGGTGGTATGTTGCATGACGCTCTATCAGCAATGGCACGAACAGCTCGACCAAGCGCTCAGTGCTGAGGACACGGCTCTCCTTGAGCAGAAGGGCGTGCTTGAACCAGCGATCCCACAGCCGAGCAGCATCAGGAGGGAGGCTGTTGTGTGTGTGTGTGTGTGTGTGTGTGTGTGTGTGTGTGTGTGTGTGGTGGGCGGGGTGGGGGGGTGGCATCAGACATTTGACAGATATAATTTAGCACTACATTTTTTTCAAGTTATAAGCCATTTCAACACTTTCAAATGCATGCAGCATTAACTATTTCCAGTCAAGGCTGAACTACCACACACGACAATAAGGACCACGATTTAAATAGGAAATTAAATTAGTCAAATAAAGTAAATAAAAAGATCTAAAGCCATCTACACTGTCGAGGAGGACAACAATAGATGGCATTCTTTGGATTGGAAATATAGCAGGAAAGCTCGAAGCAAAATCAATAGGGAAGAGAAGCAGAGCACGGATTTGGCTCACTGTATAACTACTCATTATACAAAGGCCTGCAAGTCGTAGATAGGGCATTTTCATTTACTCATGACATTCACCCATGCTGTGTTACAGCGGGAAGCGACACAAAAAATGACCTTTAAATTTGTGGAGGTAGACTGGATTCAATGGCCGTGTCTGCTGAAAGTGTGTATCTCCTCACCCACAGTCTTTAAAAAAAACTGTCATTACCTTAGCTATATTGCTGTCTAGTTTGAGAATGAAATCAAGAGATGTATTTTAATACACTCTAAAATCAAGCTTAATCATTACATATGATATTCCTTCCTGTGCTTTTCAAGGTTTTAAAGAAACACAACACACAAAAATTAAATCCGAGTCTGTACAATACCAAATTACACATATTGTGATTGTGGGTTTTTTTCAAAATATACATTAGGTGAACATGGGGAAAAAATATTGTTGGTGGATGCAGGACCCGTACCTGACTGCCATATGCTCAGTGCTGGACTCGTGTGCACTCACTAGCTCCTCTGATAGCAGGCAGCCCTTCTCTGTACTCAGTGACAACCTCTGGAGCTCATGAAGCACCACTGCGCCGCATGCTTCAAGGTCCTCGTCATTCAAGTCCGCTTCACTGTCACAAAGGCTGTCCAACAGAGAGCAAACAGCCATTGCCGCGGACCGTGGGTCAGGTGTACATGGAGTAAATCCGAAAGCTGTTACCACCTCACACTCACACAGACACACACACACACACACACACACACACACACACACACACACACACACACACACACACACACCATGCTATGATTCATAAACATCACATCATAAACATAAACATCCATTGAAGTTTTCATGTGTATGAGGGCTGTGACACAAGATGGCCACTTGATGACTGGAAATTTGGATATAAGCACTAAGTGGGAGAACTAATTGCCTGTACTGGTGTGAATACATTACACATGACTTTGGTATGCATCACAAATGCATCTATCGAAAATGAATATACTGTGTGTGTGTGTGTGTGTGTGTGTGTATATATATATAGATATATATCTATATAGATATATAGATATATAGACACACACACACACACAAACTATAAAAGGCATATATCAAATGAAAATTGGAACTATATTTCCGACGGCTAATAAGCAAGTCATCAGTGTGGACACAGTGGGGAAGGGCTCAGGATGGACAGTAATGACAGCGGCACGGCACAAGCTTGCCCATAATTGGCGCTGGCAGCTCAATGACCGAACAGCAAGTAGACTGTAAAGTAGGCTGCACGTCGGAGATATGTATTTGTTGTACAACGGAAAGCTATAGCTCAGAATAAGGAGGAGGATGAGATGTGATATAAGTGAAGCACATCTGGCTCTAGAATATTTTAGTTTACGCTAATGCATTTCTACATATCACTTTCAACCAACTTGGAACATTCAAGGCATTCATTGCAGCCTTTTTTTTTTTCAAACCATGTCACAGTATGTCATTATCTCTAGAACAATGCATTGCGCTGTTGAATCCTTCATTTCCTCCTTTCTTTCTTTTCTATGAACTCTGCCAAAATCTCTGCTGTTATGATTCCAACACCATCTCCTCGATTGGAGGCGCCCAAATGTTGTTACAGTGCACTGCCACATGAATCGAACATTTTTTTCAATTTGGGACACTCCATGCAACGGCACTGCACTGTTGTGACGCTGCAGAACATATTGTACACAATAAATGGGTTGGTTAAACTAAGTGCAGCAGTCACATGTAAGGTGTTGACAGGTTTTCAGAATTTCTGGTAGTAACTTATCCCCAGCCTAATAGGAAATTCAATCTTACTACTGTATCCATGTGCCATGTCTTCAGCCTCGACCTCGACCTTAAAGTTCCTGGGGAAGGGGTGCTCGCTTTACTTTCCAATCTGTTCAGTACAGAGCAACAACTATTTTGTGGCCACAATTTGTGTGTTTTGTGCCAAAATTATATCATAGTACATGGCCAGAAATTAATATTTTGTGACCACAAATGCCCATTTTATGTGCAGGTTATAGCAAAGCTCTGGCCATAAAATAAACACACCCACGCATACATGCACATGTCATTTAAACTATGTACAAAGTACATTGTGTGATAAGACTTTTGAATTAAATATCCAAACATTGTGCGAGTGAAAGTTACAAAGCAAAATGTGTTTTTCTTCAAATGTTTCAACTCTTGTGCTATGTGTCCCTCTTTTAACTTTGAGCACCTTCCCTTCCAAAGGTCTCTGAAGTGAAGTGTGACAAAGCATTCAGCTATGTGCCGCAAAAATAAAGATGCATAGATATTGGTGATGGCATTTCATCAAAGCCACTGTTGGCCAGAAAAAAATAAAAAAGTTCCCCCCCCCCACGTTATTTGCAAATACTGTACACTGTAACATTAGATTTAAATAAAAGACATTTACCTGATAATTTGAATGAATTGTTTTTCATCAATTGAACAAGTCCCATACACTCTTGTCTGTTCACCATGGAGTCGCCCCTCAATGAAGTCAAAAAGTTTAAAGAGTCCTTCAAGGGAGAGTCTGTAAACAAACATTGTAAGGTATTGGAGATGTGCGATATGGAGAAAATGTGTATTCCAATACAGGTAATTTTATATTCTGATAATGACAGACATCACAACATATTATTTTTCCTTAAAGTACATGACATTCATGGGTTTACAGTATTTATAAAAACAGTTTTTGAAAAATTTATAAACCACAAAAGACAAGGGAAAAAAAGATTAATTATAAACACAGAGTAGTGCCACTCAAATTATATGGTAGAACAACCACTTTTCAAGAAATGCAATAAAGTGCCAATAAATATATATATCTCTTTATATATATATATATATATATATATATGTATGCTCCGTTTTTTTTTCTTTTGCACGGGGAGTAGTATGAGAGATATAAACTTTATCTGTTTCCGTGTCAGACTGCAGATTGAGAAATGGATGCCTAATGCATACGGACATTGGGAATCCATCTCTTTTTTTTTTTTTGAGAATATAGCTGTGGGTGGCCCTCTTTGAATTCTCCGAGAAATCCCAATCCAAGAGACCGCCCCCCCCCATCATAAAATGGACCAAAAAGAATTTATGACAATCTGGAATGGGCTCTGGGTTAGGGGTTAGCTAACAATTGTGCCCAATTTTTTTGCAGGTTGCTTCCCGTAACATTCTGATGAATCTGGCATCTTCAATTACATGTATGACATTTCTTTTGTGTGCAGTCTGCCTGTGTTATGAAGCGTAAGCCTGAAAATAGTCATCTGTCTCTACTCCACTTTGTTCTTCAGAACAAGGCCTTTAGAAAGTTAAAAAGTGAATGAGGGTTTTTTTTTTTCTGCAAACCCCTCGCTCCTATTGTATTGAATGTCACGGTCTTCAACCTGGTTTTCATGCTGCTGTTTACCACCGTCGTGACATTATCGGCCGCATATTGTTAGCTTGGAGGGAGGGGTCAGGCTCTCTGCTACAATATTGCTCTGCAGTATACAGTGCACATTTTGAAGTGAGATAGACCAAACCACTAGAGTGATTGGTGTCAGGGAGGAATCTCGCAGTGTACAAAAATACACCACAAGTTGTGGTTCCACCATGATGTCAGAATACATTTTCTAGCGCTGTGTAAAAATCAGTCAAACAAAAACGGTTGATTATTCAACACATACATACATACATATATATACATACATATATATATATATATATATATATATATATATATATATATATATATATATATATATATATATATATATATATATATATATATATATATATATATATATATATATATATATATATATATATATATATATATATATATATATATATATATATATATATATATATATATATATATATATATATATATATATATATATATATATATATATATATATATATATATATATATATATATATATATATATATATATATATATATATATATATATATATATATATATATATATATATATATATATATATATATATATATATATATATATATATATATATATATATATATATATATATATATATATATATATATATATATATATATATATATATATATATATATATATATATATATATATATATATATATATATATATATATATATATATATATATATATATATATATATATATATATATATATATATATATATATATATATATATATATATATGACCATTATGTTTCTTGAAGAAACCTGGAGGATATTTCAGGCATACACCCTGACTCACCCTGGCCATGCAGGAGAAAAAATATAATGGGATAATCTAATGAATTGCTCCGGCTTGTTTTTCCCTGATACACACATATATATATATATATACATACATATATATATAACTGCCGGTTGAATGGATGGAGCGATATAAACTCTAACCTCAGAGAACAAGAAAGAAAAGAGGGAGAGGATGGAAGACTGCATGCTCTCGGAGCTTTACATCAAAGCCGCCGGTTTTCTCCTCATACACACAAGCCCTCAGTGTTAACAATGAAAGCTGTGGCCCCCACCCTTGTCGCCCCTGCACAGGCGAACTGTGGCGCCTATTGAGGTCGTACTATAAACAGTATAGCAGACCACACAGAAACCACCATGCACAAATAATATTCTGCACTGTCCAAAAGGAAAAGAGCTGCATTTTTATTTACAGTGTAGCAATAGTAAAGACACACAATTATGGTGAGGAAGGAACAAAATAAAGCTTTCTGGCTGCATGAAAATAGGAGGGGGGGGGAACTAATGTGGAAAAAAAACGTTTTGGGTTTCTACTTACTTTCTAAAGGGTGGAAGGTGCACTGTATGTATAGAATATATTTTCTGCAGGTCAAGAAAATATGTTCATGATCAGGGAGCGAACTTCAGCTTGGTGGGCATCAAGCACGGGGCGACGTTGAAATTCAATTTTAAATGATTGAAAGAGTGGTGGCACCAACTGTTCTGGATGGTATCTTTCGGGTACCAATTGCAGCGACGTAAAGGGAGGGGCGAGACACATCGCAGAGTGTTGATTTGTTGATAAAGAATAGCCACTTCCATGTGACAATGGGTCACAACACAAAACACTCTTGTTCTTAAATGAAGTTTGTCTTCTTGTAAAAACCAACCATTTTTTTCATAGAATTAATTGGGGGGTTGGGAGGGGCATATACAGTTTTGCACTGGTATGATGTCATACCATTTAGGTAATTGCTATCGTTATCTGGCTGAGTGTAAGTCAGAGGGTTGATTCTTCCAAAACCGTACATTGACGAGTTAAAGTGAACTGTCCCGGTTGGTGGAAACGTGGCTTTATTCACATCGGACTGTGTGGTTTTTAAACCCATCCAAAATGATCCTCCAACTAGAGACCATCATCACACTAAGGATTTGTGGCTGTAAGTGCTGGCCCCATACCAACCCTCCAGAACACTCCGTGGTGCCACAAATTTCCTCCTCCACTAGGGAGTTCCTGAGGTCTCTCAAGCAGAAAATTGCTCTGTTAGGGCATTATCATGGATTACGCCAATATGGTTGGCGGCAGGTCCTGAGCTCTCTCTGTAAGATGCGTCAATGCCACCACTGTTGCTGAGCTACGCAGTGCATGGCTGCCTATCTACCATGACTCCCACAATCCTCTTTTGACAGCCTCGGATGAAATAGCGTGCTCCTATTATCAACAGCCCACTGTAATATGCATGGGGAACAATATCCCGGCCCCTATTTTTTTATTTTTAGCTGCGTAACTGTCAACAACATTGCACTGAACTATGCCAGAAAATAGCACAATCAAAATATTTGTTTAATTTTGTAAAAAGCTGCAAAGACCAAATGCTACATACAAGTGAGGTGCGTCCTTGAGGGCTGAGTCGGGACTGTGCCGATTTGCACCAGATCCAGTTTTCCTTGCAGTTGCTTCACCTTCGGGCTCATCATCCTCCGACTCAGATTGGGACACAGAAATGGTGAGGTCACTCACACTGCTCTCCGACAACTGCACATCAGAGCTGGAGTCGAAACTTTCAGATCTCCCTGAATGGAGGCAAAGAGGAAAGTTACAAGTCCTATTTCAAATCTACACGAACAAATGCAAGCTGGAACAGGAAATACCCTAAAGTACACATGATAAGAGAAAAGCACATTTTCCAACCTGAGATATCTTCAGATTTTCTTGCAGAGGATGTTTCAGGCATCAAATGGCTAAAACCTCCCCCTCGATTTTCCATTAAGGGTGTCTGAGGAGCAATCGCGGTGGAGTTAGCGTTTTCGGCAGGGGGATTCGGCAGCTCTGTTGGGTTATTGCTGCTGCCTGCAGACGGATTCCTCTTGGGACTCTTCAAGGTCACCCGGGGTTCAGGTTCTTGTTCATCATCATTTGCAAAAGGCACGGGTGCACTTTGAGTCACCCTTTTCCCGTGTTTGTCAGCCAAATTACGGCCGTCGGGAGAATTGTCTGGAGCTGAAATGTCATCTGATAAATGTGCACGGTTGGCGGCGGTGTCCTCTCTGACAACTGGAAAGTCCTTCAAAGCGCCACTTGGTAGTCGTTTGCCGGGGCACATGCTTCGATTGGGCGAACAGTCCACTGCTTGGTGTGAGAGTACACTTGTGATGCCGGTTGCACGGTAGGCCCCTCTGGAGGCTTGGCGGCCAATTGACATGACCGCAGGTGCATTTGTAAAATCCTCTGTGATGCAAGAGAGGGAGCTGTCCTTGCAATCGCCTTGAACAGATTTCAGCTGCAAATATGAAGGTAAAAATTGCATTCATACCACCGCCCGTATTAAATGTTTATTTTCCAATATAAAACACACAACAGTTGCAAAATAACTTCACTTTTAATTCAGGTTAATGAAGTCTATTTTGAGAGTTTTTCATCTCAAGTTGGCTAAATAACCACTTTATAATTTGAATGAGTGTAGCGTGTTTGGGCCAAGGTCAGAATTCTCTCGACAACATATCTCAAAAGAATGTCTCGGGATCAATGTTTTAACTTTTAATCATATGAGAAATCCTTTACACAAGTTTTGATTCATGTCAATGTCACCAAGGGGAGGTGGGGGGGTGTGAAGCAGGCAAATACCCTCCCTCCAAATACAATAACAAAAAAACATCACTTCTGTTTCTTTTCTGATAAGCGTCTTAAATACCAAACAGTTAGCTGCTTAATAACATTCACTGTAAACCATGCAGCCAACCCAGCAGATCCACAAAGTAAGTATAAAAAAAGAGGAAAAGTTAATTTCTTGGCTGAGTGATTCCATCGGTAGCTGCAGGGCAAAGTAGAAAGTGACTCACTAAAGTAGCAATTGATTCTTCTATCAATCTGCAGCACGCGTGTGCTCTTCCAAGGAAAGTATTAAATATGAAAATCATATCCCGTTATCATCTGTCTCCAGCTTTCAGCCCGGTAAGCTTCCCTTAATGAATGCTGCAGCCTGAGGGACATGCACACTGCCAGCCAATGGCTTGTATGCATAATGGAGGAACGGTACCATTTTGCTCATTACAATATCGACAGATTGAGGAGGAGCGGGGTGGGGTAGGGGGGGTTGCGGGGGAGGGGGCTGTACACAGTTACAAGTGACTGCTCTAGACAGAGCGCTCCAAGTTATTATGAGATGTCTTAGACATTTCATCCAAAAGAGCTTTAACTGCTTTAAGTGAAAGGAGAAAACGGCAACGGGTTTGAACTACACTGCTTGTACAGATGCACTGGCTCGGATTAGACACCTGTGATACGACACTCGCGCGGTTTAAATGTGGCAGATTTATCCCGCTTTAAACGGTGTAAATGTTATAAACCGAAAAACACACACACGCACACACACTCACTCACACACACACACACACACACACACACACACACACACACACACGCATATGCACACGCACAAAGTAGCCTTATGGAAGGGAGAATTGGAGGACCTTGGAAATATTACAAAAGAATATTTGGGCATAAAGAACAATTTCAGGGTGGCAAAGCCAAATGACATGTTACGTTCTTCCTTGACGCTGATATTTTATGGATCACAAGATTAGTCAAAATCATACGCTGAAAAATGAATAATACCTTTGAGTTCCCAGTTGTCTTCATTTGTTCCATCAATCTGTGAATTTTATCTGAAAATTCAGCCTGGAAGAGGGATTAAGACAGAGATATAGTACAAACTTCAAAATAGCATCTCTCTTGCCTGATTCAACACTGACTTTCAGTCAAAACAATAGAAGCTGTATTTGAGGGATCTGCTCAAATAAAACAAAGTACATACCGAATAACAAATGTGGTGCTTATAAAACATCAAGAGGAAATAAACCAACTGCTTGAGGGGAGAGAAGGACTAAACCTCTGGAGCACTTCACAGTCTCAATATTGGCCAATTAACTGTGAGTCATAATTAGCCAATTTTGTTAATTTGATATTAAATTGTCAAGCACTGTTGTTGAGTTTCAAGCAATAATCTGACTGGAGCATTGTCTCCCCCCACTCGTTCATTTGGTTGTTGCGATAAATTGAGTGTTTGACGGTTTACTAGCACATTGCTGTTGCAAATAATGGCACAAATGTTACAACGCCCCGTTAAAATGACACGAAGGCTATTGTGTGTGAAATTGCTTTTATGTTGATACAACGGCAAGAAAAAAAATGGCATCTTAAGAAATACAAGTGATGAAGTGGGAGTTATTGTGTATTGCTGTTGATCACTATTTAAAAGGACACATTCCTGAGTGTACAGCAATAAAAACAGCAAATGTTGAACAACATAAAAAAACAACATAATCTAAAGATGGATGAATTTTGTTATTTCATATTGACAAAAAATGTGTTGTGTGTGTATGTGTGTGATTACCTTTTGTTGATGCAAAGCGGAAAGGTTAGGCTTGTATTGTTGCATGCTAATTTGAAGGCGCTCCACATCTCTCAAAAGCTCAAGGTTTCTCACTTTCGCATGTGCCTCCCTGACACAGATTTGCTTGAGATAACCGTGCAGTTTGGAATCTTTTATCTGAGAGCTGAAGGAACGGGATAGCTATTATTCCAAAGAAATTATTATCAAGGATTCTTGTCAAAAATAAGAGCACGGCTTTAAAAAAATAAAAGATAAGAAGAAAGAAAGAAAAAGGTTAAGCACAAAATGTTCTAAATTCAAAGGTTATTTTCAACCAAGCGTTATAGGTATGAGCTCGATAGTCTTTTTATTCATGAGTATCACCTTACTATGCTCACTCTTCACAGTACATGCACTACAATGTAATTCGGATAAAAATACATTTCACACATATTGATGCCAAATATTGCTGAAAATCAGTATTGCAGTGCTCCAAAATTATTTCGAAACACATATTAGCTTACCACGTTCGTTTTTGAGGTCTGGCGGGACCAAACAATTTATTTTCCAACTGCAGCCTCTTTTTCTCTCTGCAAGCACACGCACTCACACGCGCACGCACGCACACGCACACACACGCACACACACACACACGCACATACGCGCACACGCGAACGCACTCATTAACGCCCGCACGAACTCACACATCCACACAAACACAAACCCATCAGTGGAGGAACTGGCACCACCTGACAGAGGACTTCGCGAAATATTGTCATAAACTCAACAGAGATCCATCTAACGACAAATGCTATGTAAAAGGTTCCGCCAGATATATGTTTTGATTTTTTTACAAATCCCCAAATTCTATCATTCCAAGTCGGTTTCAACACGCTGAAAGATATCTTAGCAGCCTGCTAGTTAGCTAGCTCGATAGCAAGTTTGTCGGAGGCAAACAGGCGATGTCGTAAACAAGGAAAGCCTCCTTACCGTTGATGGATGGTCTGATGAACGGACGTTAACCGCTCTAAATATCTGTCCTCCACGCGAGACTTGATGGCCATTTCACCTGCTTTGCCGCTGAAGGAGAGCAGCAACTAGCAAGAGGAGAGCCGTTAATATTTACAATGGTTGCCATGAGCACCACTTCCCAGAAGCCCTTCGCCACAAGCATGTGGGTCACGTGGGGCGAGGCGGAGGCACCAGATTGAATCTTGGCTGTGTGTGTCGCAACAGTACACTCTTCCATTGTAAGGCTCGCCCACAACCAAAGCGAAATTTACCATTCGTCATTGCTAATATGTCTGTCATTTTTGGCTGCAAAGTCGAGGAGAAAGTGTGAAACTGTTTCTTTCCACTGCCGAAAATCATATCAAACCATGGATTTGATGGCCACCCAAAAGAAAAGCAAACTAATCTGTTGCTGTGGTCGCCATCGTTTAGCAGCGGTGGTGTTGTTTCCCGTGTCTTCGTTAATCATTCAAGGCGATATGCAACACACTGAAGTGCTCCCTGCGTGTTGTTTGAAGGTGTATAATTTACCTTTGCATCGGAGCTAATTTTGATGAGCATGTCTGATTTCAAAGCAGTGAAAAATATGTGACACAAAAAATGTTGGGGGATCGCTGTTCGACACAATCAGGGTCGCCATTGCAAGAAAAGCAAAGACCATTCTCGGGCAAAGACATTGTAGTTTCTTGAGGATTTGTTTGCAATATGTTTTTGAACATGGATAGAGTTAAGTCTAAACGTGTGAGTTTACATTTGAATAACTTTCTACTGTCAGGTAGATCTACTTTTCGATCAACCAACCTCCTGTGATCAACCTGTTACTGCACGTACTTACACACTCATGTCATGATGAGCAACACCCATAACGGCCCCTAAGATGAACAAAACAGAAAAATAAAGTAGACAACCTTTTGTTGAGACTTGGCGCAGAGGCATGGGATACACATTTGCAGCCTGTTAACTATCGCAACTCACGTGTACCGCTTTAATGCTTCTTTTGGCCCTCCAGATTCCCATTCTTTACCAGTGCCCTTTGAGAATTGTACATGAAACAAATGATAATAAAAAAAAAATTGCGCGACACCTCTTATCGCAAACAACTTCCGGTCAAGCATGTCACGCGCCACCGTAGCTTAAAGGTGACCTGTTTTGTTTTTTTTGTTGTTGTTTTTTTTTTTTTTTTTTTTAGATACTTTTTGTGAAAATAAGACTGATAGGATGCTAAGGGTGCAGGGTGCACTAACACAGAAATATATCATATTAATAGCCCACACACAGACACAAATGTTTTATGTTGTTTTTTTTGTTTGTTTTTTTTTCCCCCTCTTCACCCCTTGAGACCGACTTGGGATCAGTCCGCGAGCTCCCGGTCGATCATGATTGACATATTAGTACCCCCGCCCCTTGCTACAGAATGTATGTCACGAAAAAAAATATATATTTTTTTTGCAACATCAGAAAATCACGAGTAGACACCTTTTTTCCATGAGCAATGGAAGAGAAAATATGTATACTGCGTCAAAGCAATACTTGCTTTTTCCCTTGTCATAGGTCCTAAATTGTAATGCTGTAACAAACAAGGTTACAGTAATACAATTTTCATTGTGAAGTGCAACATTACATCAACTTCATTCAGCATAGTGACTGGTTTAAATACCAGCCATGAAAGTAAAATATTCATTTGATAAGTGTCTCTTTTGTTCAGATACAGATGTTTTATTAGCTTACTGGTTGCAGAATTATCACTTCATCTCAACTTTCATTATCAAAGTTCACCATTGACAGCTGTCCCAATGTTGCATTTTAAACGCAGATGCGTGTCATTTTCTCATCCTTTCCTGGGATTCAGAATCTGACAGTTCCTCCAAGTGCAAACCCTAATCAAGCAAATTCACCAATTTTGGTTCAGTCAAATTGCTCTTTAGCTGTTGAATTGGGGAGTTGTGTTGTCCTTTTCTAATGCTAATCTGCCAGATTCAGTGTCCCTCTCAGAGGCTATTTTGTTGTGAAATGAAACCCCTTGTTTGCATCCTGCATGTATAATTGATATTGTTGCAGGGCTTTTTGTTTGTGCATTTGAGAGGTGGAAGGCGGCTCTTTGGAGGCCATGAAGAAAATTGGACTTGCAGCATAGCTGTTCCAGTTGAGCTCAGTGGTGTTAATACCTTGGATGGATGTTGATATGAGTTTATATTAGTAGACCACAGACAGCATTTTCTGTATGTCCGTCAGCTTGTAATACATAGAATGAAATGTTTAGCCCTATATTTCATTGACATCCAAGTATACTAAATTTAAAAAAAAATGTTTCGGACCATTTCTTGGATTTTTTTTTTTTTTCCACAGCTGACCCGATTCAGAGTCCTCTCATTTCTCGATAACATGAAGACTTACCAACTACCTGACAAAGTATGTAAGACCCGGAAGTTTGGTGTTAATTACCACCGGAGCCCCTCAGGTAACAGTGTTAAACCCTTTGGTCTTCACCCTGTACACTTCTGACTCTGCCTACAAGTCGCCATTATGGCATATCAAAAACTCTGGCGACACAGCTGTGGTTGGTTGTGTGAAGGAGGGGGACAAGAAAGAGTACAGGAAGGTTATTTCTGCCTTAACACATTGGAGCAGAGACAACGGGCTTGTTTTGAATGCAGCTAAGAACAAAGAGATGGATGTGGATTTTGGAAAGCCAAGATCCCAGCATCTACTCGTCCAGATTGGGGGTGAGAGGACTGAGGTGGTCACCAGATAGAAATATCTGGGTGTCCACCTGGAGCACAAACTGGACTGGTCAGAACAAATACAAATGCATCATATCAAAAAAAGGGGCAGAGCAGACCTCTTTCTCAGAAAGTTAAAATCGTTTGATGCCTGCGACGAGATGCTATTCCTTTTTTATAAGTTTGTTGTGGTCAGTGCAGCAATTTTTTGCTGTGGTGTTCTGGGCGAACGGTATGACGGGCGGGGAGGGCAACCGTCTCGACAAACTGATTAGGAAGTGTGTGTCAGTGTGGGGAGGAAAGTAGAGAGTGGAATGAGGAAGATGAGCAAGTCCATCCTCAGTAACAGCAGCCATCCCCTGTCGTCTGCACGACACTGTGGCGGACTGCTCAGAGAAGCAACTGCAGCCAAAGATTCCTCTCCCTGTGCTGCATGACTGACTATCTATCTATCCATCTATCTATTGATACTGCCTCTGTGTGTGTGTGTGTGTGTGTGTGTGTGTGTGTGTGTGTGTGTGTGTGTGTGTGTGTATCTGACTCTTAACTTCATGAATAAAATATTATGTTCTGAAACCCATAAAATATTGTTCCTGAAAATTGCATTGAAATACTTTCCGATGCCATGCTAGCGTTAACAGGCTATGGTGTAATATATTTCCTTCTTTCAGGCAGAAACCCCCTCAGGATACATTGGTAAGGCTCAAACCGCATCTTTTTTTTGCCTTGTCGTTTTTTGCCATGTTTTTATTTGTGGCGCATGACATATTACTTTGTCCCAAAAAATGTGCCATGTTGATATTAGATTTGAAAACTAAATTAAACTGTAATAATGAAATGGACTCAATGAAATCATTCAGGGTCCAAAGGAATCATTTTACCACTGACCAAAATGATAATTTATTAGTTGTCAGTGGTTTAATTTACACACAATATTTAGAACAGGTGCATATTTTATGATCAGCCAAATCAGTCTCACCTCAGTGCAAGGTGTGTGTGTGACTGTGTGTGTGTGTGTGTGTGTGTGCGTGCGTGCGTGCGTGCGTGCGCGCGTGCGTGCGTGCGTGTTTTTTTTTTATTCAAATAAAATATTTGTTAAGCAATACACCTATTTTCCCTCCAAAAATAAACATTTAATACAATTTCTGAAAACAAGTTAAAGATATATTTGTAGTATTGTGTGTACACACACATGCATTTAAACTGAAATAATTTCTTGTTTATTTTTACAATGATCATCTGTAACAAGGTTGGATTTTTAGGTTTGGATACACATTTTCTCAAATTCTTCTCATAGGACAGAGGTTGCATATGTATGGTCATCGATATGCCCTCACAGAGGTCACAATTTGAATAAGAATTAACAGCTAGTAAACTAAATTGATATTCAGTGCACGTCTCCAATGAATCCTCCAAATCTTTTTTTTTTTTTGCTTGGCTGGCACCCACGTTCAGCCCTGAGCTCATGTGTGCAGTTAATAATTTGATAAACAGTTTACACAAATGAAGAATTAGTATTTTCAAACTCTACCTTGTGTTAGAATTATTTGGCTCATCTTTGTGGTTTTCAGCATGTCCGATCATCCACATCTCATTTTCATTGCCGCGCCTACACCAGCAGGTCTGCATTCAGACATTTTTGGGGGTGATTGCAAATGCTCGGTTCGTATCTACTGTAAGAATAAAACATGTAAGGGTTACCTATTGTTGAGAGTTTTCAGTGAAATTAATATACTTAAATGCCATTGTTTGATAACACGGTCATTTTGAAGTGGGTTGAACATTTTCTTTTCCAGGGCTCCCATTTGAGGCTGACTGTTATTTCATATTGTACATTTCTATGAGCCTGCATTCTACATTAAAGCATGAACGATCTTAAGTTTGAGGTATTAGTTCAATGCGCACTTATTTTAGCACTCGTAAAAGATATTTTAATCACTTCACAAAGTGGGCACATGTAATCCCCCCCCCCCCAAATTAAAATGATAAATAATGAAAACAGATGATGCTATTAGTGGTGCCTGTTCAAAAACAGGCTTGGACATGTTTGAAAAAGGGCTAGAAAATGAAATAGTGTTTTATTTTTGTGACTGAGTGTCCATTGTCCATATATTGTAGTTTATTCATGTGTCTATGTTTAATGACGTTTTGGGCTATGAGAGGAAAGCAATTAGTTAAGTGCTATCGAGTGGATGAAAAGCTGCAACAAATCCCCTTCATAATTTCATGGCAAAGAAAGCTCACAGTTGAATGGGTTGATGCTGATGTCGTTTCATTAGTGCTTTTTGGGGGGGTTGTTAGCAAAGAAAAAGACAAATGGGCTGGTTATTAGTTTAATTGTCGATTTGGAATGTATGTTATCAAGTTTTATCGATATACCGTCGGAAGTATGAGAAAGAATAAGATGAATCGGATGCATCGGGATGCTGCACTTTTTGAATAT